GCCTCTCGACTGCGCTTTGTTCTTTGCTGTAATTGAAGAACCATGACAAACATTTGGCAAATGAGGCAAACACCGTGCGCCATCTTAGGCCGACACCCACCAATTGCGAACAAGTGACCGCACGCGTTCAGATTTTGACACCGCCCATAAGAAAAAAGCATCGGGCACCAGAATGAAACAGTGGTCCTTTCATAGCCCTTGATGTGGCTTACAGAATATCCAAGGACAATGAATCAAAGATAAAGTCAGGTCTTCGCCAAATAGCAGAAGGGAATTTCGGCCGAAGCTACCATCCGGATAGCCCGAGTGTGTCCTCTCAGAGTTGAGTGACCTCACAGTCAGTAGGCCGTGTTTTGAAGTAAAAGCTGTTAGAGCAGTTGGGGATGCTGGTAGGAAAGTTCCATATTTGCACATTTCACGAATCCATGAGGTGATTCCTAACCGCAACTTTTCGGTGGTTGGCTAGAAAATGTACCAGTCAGTCACTGTTGAGGTTCCCGGTGCGGAAATTCGAGTGACGCGTAGGCTCCATGCGGTGTCAGGTAGATTGAGTTGTCAATCCAATCTCACGAAAAGAGTTTGAGGACTAGAAAAATACACCCGTTTGAAAATAAATTTGGCTTTGCGAGGGACTCATCTGGAACCCCGCCGAATCTCTCGTTTACGATGTTTCTCTGAGCCTACCTGCTGAGCCCCAAGAACGGCGAAAACGGTCGTNCACGAATCCATGAGGTGATTCCTAACCGCCACTTTTCGGTTGTTGGCTAGAAAATGTACCAGTCGGTCACTGTTGAGGTTCCCGATGCAGAACTTCGAATGACGGGTAGGTTCGACGCGGTGTCACGTAGATTGAGTTGTCAATCTAACCTCATGAAAAGAGTCTGAGGACTAGCGAAGCACACTTGTTTGAAAATGAATTTGGTTTTGCGAAGGACTCATCTGGAACCCCGCCGAATCTCCCCTTTACGATGTTTCTCTGCGCCTACCTGATGAGCCCCAAGAAGTGTGAAAACGGTCGTGGGCTGTCGAGGAGTTTTCAGCAATCTTACGAGTAGTCTGAGTACTGCTGAAGTTCCCGGTACGGGACTTTAAGTGACGCGTAGACTTTTTAACCCTATTGTTCCCTTTAATATTCAGAATTGTCTGATCGGTAGTGCTTCACCCGATCCCGTATTGCGTTGTCCCTCGAATTACCAATTCGATAGGGAGCAGTACTGACATTTGAATTGCACTGAACAGACTACTCATTGGTTATAGGCGACAAGAAAAGAATCTGAAGATTTGCTTTGGATCGCTTAATACAAGAGGCATATTGATCGATTTAGGAAGTGAGCATTTTACCGCTCAATCAACTGTGGCCATGTAACAGTGGATGTCTGAGAGGTACACGTAGGTCACCCTCGTTACTCTAGTCAGGCTAAAATGAGTTTTTGCCTCATCTGTTGTGATCATTTTTCTCTCACTGACTTCAACCCTTAGTTACGGCGTCTGGTCGTGCGCTTTCGTCTTCCATTGATAGTTCTCAGATACAGTTATTTGGGGAGCACTTTCCGAGATGCATCTGATAATCTAATTTTCACAGGTTACTAAGAAAGTCCAGGCGTTATTATGAAACGGAGCCATGCTTCAGTCTCCAAAACACTTTTTTCATCGTGGCGCCAGCATGGAGTTAGATCTCTTCGTCACCGTTCTGTGAGACTAATTGATGAATATTTTTTTCTCATCCATTTCCCACCCACAGACTAGCGTCTACTCGCTGACCGTACGGATACTCATTAGTCTTTCAACCGTTGTCCTGATGACCTTGATCATATCTTATCACGCCTATGATGTAATGGTAAGTCGAGCGATTTGGGTGTCGTCTCTCCCCCTCCCCAAGACTTTTGCTTTTTGACTGACACACGATTCTTACTGGTGCCATAATGTGTCTGAGAGTTAATGTACATTAAGCGTCGACGTGTACAGAATGGCCGGACAGAATAGAGTGACATTAGTTGAAGCGATGTAGTACCGTTTCCGTGTCTTGTATGTCTCGGATGGAACAAATAACAACAACCATTTTTTTCTCTACGTGAGGGATCCAAATGAACTTTTTTCTCGCTACTTTCAATGATAGCGTACCTGTTGAAGACGAGACACCAAACTGTCCACTTACGCAAGTCTATAGTACGTATTAATTGTTAGGCTTGCTTGATATTGCCTTATCGAGCCTAGCTACTCCTGGATACTGCTGTGTACAGCTTCAAACCTCTTGTGGATTTCATCTATGAATTCGGGCAGACGGCGTTTTAAATTCTTCAGTGTGATGTTTGGGCCAAAAAAGTTTGAACAAGGTGTATCGACTAGAAATTTGTCTGAAATGGTTACTGAAATTTAATGGGACCAGTAGAAGAACAAAGAAAAACGTATTAAGGGGTCTGTCTGATCACTATGAGGGCATCCCCAGGGAGGCTAAATAAACCCATAATAGACAACAAAGTCGAGGGACTGGATTGTCCGTGCGGGCAGTTGGAGAGCTACACGAGATGGGTGAAAAATTTGGCGAAGTTCGATACGTCTAGCAGATTTTCGGTACCGTTTGCTAATCCAATTGAGTCACGCCGGGTGATCGACTGTATTTGTCTGACCAGATTTCGTCGAAGGTACCGCCAGGTGACAGGCGGCTCGTTCTGTGAGTTCCTTGAGCTATTCAGGAGGAACACAGGGCACTTTTGCCGTTCATGGAACTAATTAACGGCAATTAGCGAATA